GGCTAGTGGTCTCTGAACCTAAACCTATTTTGTCTGCCAGGGTGAGACTCCTTCAGAGGACTTGGGGGGATGGGGCATAAGAGGATACATTTAAAGTTCTTGAAACACTAAACACCCGGCAAGCTTGGAAAAACTAGGAAGACACTGAGCTTTTTGAAGTTTTTACACACTGTTTCGTGTTAGGCTTCAGTTTCCATAGTCTGTATCAGATTACCAGACAGTTTATGTTTTCAAAGGACTCCATGGGATGGAGAATAACTTTAAGGAAAATTAATTTTAACATTAAGAGAAGTACTTAATGTGCATGTATAAAAGTATCACAATTGAGCCTATCATTTTGCTTATTACCATATGCCAGCAGAAAAATTTAGTTACCATAGCTTTTAATACAGTCTGCTTTGTACAGGGTATGTCATCTTGAAGTACTGGAACATACTGACTATGAGCTTAGGCTGAATTTAAGTTCAAGTTTCACAGGGTTTCCAAATTTAGCGAAGGTTAATAATTACAGCTCTGGATTTCTGATGGCGTATATAGTGAGAGTTAGCATTTTAACTGCTTTAAACAGTGACTATGCTTTATCTTCATAACCACCTATGAACATTGGTATTAATAAGCACATAGAGATAAAGTAAGTTAACCATTGGATTCTCCACACCTGAATTCTTCTTGCACTTTGAATAGGGATGAAAACCACTTCAAAGGGTTGTTTTTGAGAAGGGCATGAGATAATGCATGTAGGATGTCCAGTATCATGACTGAACACTCGGTGCTCAGTAAGGATGCTTTGAAAGCACCTTGTAGCATGGGATCTCATTAGGCCTCTGATGAGAAACTTAGCTCTTTCTATAATGCTATACATTGCTAATATTTATTTACTTAGAGTTTTAATGCTCCTTACTAGAAGTAAGTGTGTGCATAGTAAAGAATCACCTTTTGATTTTGTGGGAAAGGATGCTTGTTTCACCTGCACAGGTGTTCTATAGTTGACATTTGATTGTCTTGTCTTCCAGGTCGTTAGATTCCATGGTGGAGCTCTTCCTGCCTACGTTGTATCTAGCATCCTTCTTGCTTATGGAGGGCAGTTATTTTCTCTCTTCTCAACAGGTAAAAATGCTTTCTTTTTAAAAGTCAATTTTGTTTTAGATTTTAAAGTAGAGCCACTCTTAGCTGCACGTCACTTTCCCCTGGTGATTTTGTTTTTTGCTTTTCTAGTACTGGAGATCAAAACTAGAGCCTGGTATAGTCTAAGAACTGACCCTGGGCTTTATTCCCATGGTCATATTTATTCAGATTATGCTGAACTGGAAGGAATAATAAGAAAGTGCTTAGAATTAGCCACCACCACTGTCCTTGGAAACTCCAAGATAGCATGTGACTTTGTGACCGGTCTTCTTCGTGTCTTTTTAATTTTTTCAGTACAATTTTTTTTTCAGGAACAGAAGTGTCCATATACATAAAAAGACCCATAAAAATAAGGAAGATAAGACAGCAAGTGGCAGGAGGAGGGGAGATGAGGAAGGAAGTAGGAAGGAAAGGATGGCTGCAACAGGACAGAGAGGGTTGGTAACGGCCTGCAGAGTGATTTTAAGGTCTTTTATGCTCTTAGTGAGATCCACACACTGCAGTTTGCTCTTAGGTTTAATCATTACATTTTGTAGCTACAATTTCCCCCCAATCTCACCATCCCCCTTGTAATTTGTTGAAAACATTTTGTTCTTTTGTGTTTTTCATAATTTAGGTTTGGTGATCATATCCCTAATGATGATAGTCGATGCTATAAGAGATACAATATATTTATTTACCAGAGAGAGAGAGAGAGTCACACAAGCTGGGAGTTAGAAGCATGGCCGGCTTCCAAAAGAGGAGGTCCTTTTTCCTTTCGCTTCCTTTTATCTCTACTTGTACTAATTTACTTGTCCCCACCCTCATGGGCAGATAGCTTTGTGGAGTTCACTCCTACAATTCCCCTTTTAGTCTAAATAGAAGATTTTAATTCGATACAAACTCAAACATATACAATATATATACATAGAGGGTGATAATTAAGTTATAATGTACTTATATCCTAAGCTAAACATATCCATTCCACCTAAATTTTAAACTTATCTGAAAGGGATGTCTAAGTCTGAACACCTCCTTCCAATCCCAACCCTAAAATAATTGAAAATTAACACTAACAGGTATAAACTATCCTCTAATATCAATAGTAGGGAGAAGGATGGAGTTGAACGTGTTCTTCCGTCCTCTCTATTTTTTGAAACACGTGTTAGTAGTTAGAGCTGTGAACTTCATGTTCCCCTCTCGTCCCACACGCTCCCCTCGTGTTGCTGCTGCAGCCCCTGGGTTGCTTGTGTTGAATAGACCTGCAGTGGTGTGTGCGCACTCCCTAGTCTTGTTCTCCCTCCCGGTGCACCCCGCGCCTTCCACCCTGCTCTCTCCTCTCATTTCTCCTCTTCCTTCCATTTCCTCCCTTCTTTTCCTCACCTTCCGTCTCTCTCCTCCCTCATGCCCTAGCCTTTTTTTCTCCTAAATTTTGAGCCAATGCTTCACTACTCCTCTTTAACTCTTACACATGGCCCGAAGAAGACAGAAGATGCTGTCACCGTCCCCTGGCCTTACCTGGGAAGGTGGGGAAATCTTACTTCTTTCTGCTGTTGCCCAGAGAAGTATGTTCACAAAAGTCAGCCTCCCAGAACCAGCAAAGTGAAGGGCAGAATGACTCTGAGGAGGTGTAGAGACTATGGTTCCCAAGAGGCTAAACCTTGGCTAGGCAAAGGAGACAGGAGATGGGGGAAAGAGCGAGGCCCACTTATAGAAAGTCAGGAAGCCTCCTCACCATTTCTGTGGGCCAAACCTTTTTTTAATGACTCAATTCTTTAATGGTCTTCATAAAATCATAAAACTTCAATGTCCTTGAATGGCCTTTGTGAATCTATTGTTCATATTTAATGTGTTAACCTGTATTCTACAGAAAGAAATGTGATCTGCTCCAGCACCGGCCTTTTTGTTTTCATTAGTGTTTGTTTGCATGTCTGTGTGAGTGTCAGATCCCCTTTATGTTCCTAGTATGCAAATCATAAGTCACTTATAGATTGTACCCACTAGAATGAGCATAATAAAATGATAATATGCTAATAAGGAAAAGGAGAGACTGTGACCTTCATACTCAACTGTGGAAAACAGTCTAACAGTTCCTCCAATGGTGAATAGAGTTACCATAGAACCCAACACCTCTAGTCTCAGGAACACACCAAAGAGAATTGAAAGCTTTCATCCACATAAAAACATGTACACAAATGTCCACAGTAGTACTAGTCATAGTAAGCAAAGCAGTTGCTAAAAGGATGTATTCAACAATGAAAAGAAATGAAGGGCTGCGGGTATCTCTCAGTGATAGGACACTTGCTGGCATGCATGAGGTCCTCACTGGGTTCGATTCCTAACACCTCAAAAACATTCCCTGTGTATCTTAAAATATGGTTGAATCTGAACACTTATTGAATGAAAGAAGCTAATCACAAAAGACCTTACATTATATGATCCCTTTTATAGAACATTTCCAGAATAAGAATATCTATAATGACAAAGATAGATTAGTGACTACCAAACAGTGAATAATTTCAAGGCAAACAGTTTTTTGGGGGTGATGAAAATGTTCTGAGACTGATGGTGTTAGTGGATACATAACCAAATATACTAAAGCCATTGAATCTATGGACTTCATATGGATGAATTGTTTGGCATAAGAATTATATCTCAATAAAGCTGTTATTTACATCACTTATTAATATTTGTAAAAATGCACATTGTGAGGCCCTGGCCTTGAAACCTTCTGTTTACTTGGTGAGTGACTAAACGTGTGATTACAGTCAACCTCCCAAGAGTACTCTCTGGTAGAGAGAACAACCCTGCAGTTTCTGGTGTGCAGTGTTGTTCTTTTGCTGCATGTTACATTGGCATGGTGAGATAAAGTTTATCTGTTTAATTGCTGTGAATTCTTTGTTGCACACAAGTGATTTTCTTCAATTACCAGGTTACTGCTTAGAATATTCAATTATGTTGGATAAAGAAGCCAAACCATACAAAGTTGATCCATTTGTAATTATGATTAAGTTTTTGTTGGGGTAAGTTTTATTATCTGTGATTCTGCTTTAATTTTGTTTGTAAAATAATAATGTTTAGTTTCATAATGTAGTATGGATTTTTGTAAATATTTGGCAATTGATATGTTTTATTAAACTGGAACTTTTAGGAAAAAGTCCAATATGTCTGTCAACATTTATTGTCAGTAATGTGATCATTTCAAAAGTAGTTATCTTTATATATAAGTAATTATATATTACATGTGTCTAGAAATCTAAAAGCTTTAATTTTAACCAAGTTAATGTTTGTTACTGATTTACTCACATTCAGTAATTTTTTAATTAAGAATTATTTCTTAGACTTTTTTCATTCTGTCATTCTAAATACCTGTTGGCTTTATTAGTTCATGCAGTGATTGATAGGAATAAAGGCCCTGGACTCGGATACTTAACAGTTAGTAGACTCATTACCTTGTTCAAAAGAATTAAGAGTGACTAAACATGTGGTTGCTGTCAACCTTCCAAGAGTACTTGTTCAAAAGAATTAAGAGCCAAGGGCTGGGAAGCTCACTTGTTATGTAAAAGTACTTACTGTGAAAACATGAGTTTGAATCCCCAGCATCCACATAAAAAGCAGTTGTTTGTGTTTGCTTGTAAAACTCCAACATTAAGTGGGCAAAGGCAGCCAGACCCTGAGAGCCTGCTGGATGAAATGTAAAACCACCAGTTCAGTGACAGACCCTATCCTAAGGGAATAAGGTATAGAGCTGTAGAGGGAGGTGTTCAGTATACTCTTCTGGCCACACACACACACACACACACACACACACACACACTCACACACATGCACACATACACATACTTACACAATACACTCACACACACATGCACACACTCACACAATATATACTCATTCACTCACACAATCACACATCCACACACTCACACACATCATATGCATATACCTACACTCATTCACACATACACTCACACACATTCACACATATACACACTGATACAATCACACACATTCACACTCACCCACACCATGTACACATACTCACTCATGCACACAATATACACACACTTACTCATACAATCACACACACACACACACACACACACAGGAATGAAGCAATTCCATGCATGATTGCACACACTTGTAATCCCAACACCCAGGAGGTGGAGGCAGGAAGATCTGTACTTCAAAGCCAGTCTGAGCTACATAGCACTTATCTGAAAAACAAACCAAAAAGAATTAAGATTTGTTTTCGGTATGTTTTACAAACTATCTTATCCCTTTAAGACTTCTAATAGATGGCTATAAACATTAGTTGTTGGAATTTTGGGTTGTTTTGCTTCTGTCTTACGATTTCACTTGTCCGTTTTACAGGTATAAATGGTTTAAGGAATTATGGGATGCAGTATTATTACCGGAATTAGATGCCATTGTTCTAACTAGCCAGAGTATGTGCTTCCCCCTTGTATCCTTGATCCTCTTCCTGTTTGGAACATGCACTGCATACTGGAGCGGCCTGCTCTCTTCTACATGTGTGCAGCTCCTTTCTTCACTGTGGCTAGCTCTGAAAAGGTAAGGCTGTCCTAAAAACTTTCTCACTGCTCTTAGTGAAGAAAATATTACGATGGGGTGTAGCCTGGAGGAAGAGCCTGTGTCTAGTATTTACTAGTATTGCTGGGACCTAAACTTGAGCCTCAGCACTGCAAGGAAGAGGAGGCAGAGAGAGGAGGGGAAAGTATAAAATCATATGTGTGTACACAGTATTCCAATAGGAAATCCTAAAAGCTTTAGTCATCATTTATTTTATAGATAAAGACTCTGACTTCAGTCCTGGTCTTTACCATCTGACTGGATGGATGGATAAAGACCCTGAAAACAGCCTGGAGCTGTATTACAGGCCCAAAGGCAGTCTGAATTTAAAATTACTAGTGACTTTTCTGATAACACCCCCAATCTAGTTTTCTCTTGACTCCTCCATGCCGGATGACTGTGATGTGGTTTCCTGTCACACGGGAGGTTACAGACGCTGCTGCTTCCCTCGCTGTTCCGGGGTGGTTCTCGGGTTTTTGTCACTGACACCTCAGGCTCACAGTATCTGCTCTCCTGTCAGGACTGGGCATGTATGACACAGGATCTGTAAGCGGCCAGGCACAGTACGACCAGGCATAGTATGACTGAAGAAAGTAATCATCACAGTGTGTTATAAAACTACATGTCACCTCTTACCTTTGTTGAGAAACATTGTAGTTTACTTTGCGCTTACTTTTTACAGTTGTGTCTATAGATTTCTTTGTGTCCCTCACATGTTAATAACCAGATGGGAAGCTGATAGTGCACATGAGCTTGAGTGATCTCCATCTGGAATGCTCAGGTGCTGGATGTTTCCAACTCCAAACTGTCTTAGATTTTGAAATATTTGCATATGCATTATGAAGAATCGTGAGGATGGGACCAAACTCCAAGTCCAAAATGCAGTTGTTTTATATTACTTTATACACATAACCAGAAGCTTATTTTACAGTTTCATTAGTGCATCAGCATTTTTGGCTATGGCCTAACACACGAGATCATGGATTGGAATGTTCCTCTTGTGACACGAGGGGTTCTTTTCCTCTTTTGTGAACTGTGTAAATATACTGTATTTTAAAAAACTTTTTCCTTTTATTCCAGACCTGCCGAACTTCCTAAAGATATCAAGGTGATATCACCAGACTTGCCTGTTTTGATAGTTGTCTTTCTCATCGTGAGCTGGACAACTTGTGGAGCACTTGCCATACTTCTGTCTTATCTGTACTATGTGTTTAAGGTATGTTGGATCAGGAAAGCCAAAAGGCTTGGCTATGTTTTAGGCACCATAAAATGCCCCATGGGTATTATTAACAAAAGGTTGTGATTACTCCTGAGTGCAACCCTCTATTATGTCAGAAAGTTGATGTAAAGGTTTTTTGTTTTGTTTTGTTTTGTTTGCATCTTGGTTATTTAACTTATATTTACTTAAATATAACTTATATTTAGTTAAGAATTGACATTATTGGTCTGAGTTGGGGTGTTGGCTAAAACAAAGGGAGAAGATATAGTATGCTTTAGGTCACTTTTTATTTGATTGTTAACTTTTTAAACATTTTATTAGAATAGACTTACTCACGCCTTTAAGACTATGAGTAGGAAAATAAACAGTTGTTAGTTTTAATCAAGTTGTCAGTCATGTCAATGAATGCTGACATGTGCTGAAGAACCAAAGGCAATGATAACAATTAAGCGATGATTTTACTGCAGCAGAAAATACTGAATAAACCAACAGCCTCCAAGGGGATCCAGGAGGCAACAAGCTCGTGTGTGGTGTGTTGATCATGTAGGTGGACTGTCTACACCACACTGAATAGTTGATTATGTGGGTGGACTCTTGGTACCATACTGGATAATTGCTCAGGTATATGGACTGTTGGCACCACATCTAATATTGTTTTTAACTTTTCATTGAGACTCTGCCTCTTTTAAATTAAGACATGCACACTGTAGATTATTTTCAGTTTTCTAAAGGGAACTTTTGTAAATCCGAAAAGCTGTCTAGAGCTACTTCAGTTTATAAATGATAGGTTAGATTCTGTATTTTTAATTAGATATTTTTTTAATATTCATGCTGAATTTTAAAAATATTTTTTATTTTTTATTAATTTATTTTTTATATTCCAATCCTAGTGCCCCTCCCTTCTCTCCTCATGCTCCCCTCTCTTGCTCTTCCTAGGAAGTCTGCTAAGTCTGTCCCATCGTGTCATTGAGGCAGGACCAAGGCACCTCTCCACCCCCCACACCCCTGTGTCTAGGTTGAGCAAGATATCTCTTCATATAGAATGGGCCCTACTAAGTCAGTTTGTACATTAGAGTTAGATCTTGGACTCACTGCCAGTGACCTCATATACTGTCCCAGCCACACTATTGTCCCTTATAATATTAAGGGAGCCTAGTTTGGTGTTATGCAGGTTCCCCATTTGTCTGACTGGAGTCAGTGATCTCTCACTAGCTCAGGTCAGCAGATTCTGTGGGTTTCCCCATCGTAGTCTTTTCTCCTCCCTCACTTCAATTGTACTTCAGGAGCTTGGCCCAATGGTTAGTTGTGGATTTCTGTACCTGCTTCCATCTGTTTCTGAAAGAGGGTTCTAGCTTCTCTGGGGTTGTGGATTGTAGGCTGGATATGTTTTGCTTTATGTCTGATATCCACTTATGAATGAGCATATACTATATTTGTCTTTCTGGATCTGAGTTACCTCACTCAGGATGTTTTTTTCTAATTCTGTCCATTTGCCTGCAAATTTTAGGATGTCATTGTTTCTTACCATTGAATAGTACTCCATTGTGTAAATGTATCACATTTTTTTTAATCCATTCTTCAGTTGAGGGACATCTAGGTTATTTCCAAGATCTGGCTATTACAAATACTGCTGCTATGAACATAGTTGAGCAAATGTCCTTGTGGTGTGAATGTGCCTCCTTTGAGTAATATGCCCCAAAGTGGTATTGCAGGGTCTTGAGGTAGGTTGATCCATAATTTTCTGAGAAATTGCCATATTGATTTCCACAGCAGCTATACAAGTTTGTACTCCCACCAGCAATGGAGGAGTGTTCCCTGTAAATGGGGTTCTTAATTGGTCTAGATAATAAAAAACCAGAGTCAGATATAGAGGGAAATGCTGAGAGATCAGAGAGAAGGAGCAAGCCACAGCACATCTTACCTCCTTTGTGTCTTAGCAGATAAAAGAGCAAGTTCCTGTTTCTTCCTGCTTATACTCTATTTCTGCCCAGCTACCTCACTTTCTGTCTGTCTATACAGACCTCCAGACCTCTATGGTTATTTAGTGGCAAGCTCCATCCTCTGACCCCCAGACAGGCTTTATTTGTACAAGCAAGATATCTGCCTAGTTGCATCTTTGTATGATTTGGGTATCTGTTTCTGCCGTGTAGAATAGTTTGAGGAGTATTGGTATTAGTTCTTCTTTGATCATATGGTAGAATTCTGCACTGAAACCATCTGGGCCTGAGCCTTTTTGGTTGGGAAACTATTGATAACTGTTTCTATTTCCTTAGGGGTTATAGGTGTATTTAAGTTATTTATTTGTTCTTGTTTTAATTTTGGTATGTGGTACTTATCTGAAAATTGTCCATCTCCTTAAAGTTTTCAAATTTTGTGGAGTACAGGTTTTTGATGTATGACCTGATGATTCTCTGGATTCTCTGTATTTCCTTAGTGTCTATTGTTATATCCCCCTTTTTGTTTCTGATTTTGTTAATTTGGATATTCTCTCTCTGTCTTTTGGTTAGTTTGGATAAAGATTTGTCTATTTTGTTGAATTTGTCAAAGGACCAACTCTTTGCTTCATGGATTCTTTGTATGTTTCCTTTTGTTTGTTTCTATTTCATTGATTTCAGCCCTCAATTTGACTATTTCTTGCCATCTACTCCTTCTGGGTGAGTTTGCTCCTTTTTGTTCTAGAGCTTTCAGTTGTTCTGTTAATTCACTAGTGTGGGATTTTTCCAGTTTCTTCATGTGGGCACTTAGTACTATGAACTTTCCTCTCAGCACTGCTTTCATTGTGTCCCATAAGTTTGGGTATGTTGTGTGGTTGTTTTCATTAAATTTTAGCAAGTATTTAATTTCTTTCTGTCTTTCCTTCCTTCCTTCTTTTCTTCTTTCTTTCTTTCTTTCTTCCTTGATCCATGGTGATTCAGTTGAGCATTATTCAATTTCCATGTGTTTGTGGGCTTTCTGAAATTAATATTGCTGTTAAATTCTAACTTTAAGCTGTGGTTATTCGATAGGACACGGGATTATTCCAATTTTTTTTGTATCTGTTGAGGTTTGCTATGTTGCCGAATATGTGGTCGATCTTAGAGAAGATTCTATGAGGTACTGAGAAGAAGGTATATTCTTTTGTGTTTGGGTGGAATGTTCTATAGTTGACTGTTGAGTCCATTTGAGTCATAGCATGTTAGTGCTCTTATTTCTCTGTTAAGTTTCTGTCTGGTAGACCTGTCCAGTGGTGAGAGTAAGGTGTTTAAGTATCCTACTATTAACATGTAGGGCTTAGTTTGTGATTTAAGCTTTAGTAAAGTTTTCTTTTACAAATGTAAGAGCCCTTGTGTTTGGGCATAGATGTTCAGAAATGAAATTTCCTCTTGATGGATTTTTCCTGTCATGAATATGAAATGCCCTTCTTTATCTTTTTTATTGATTTTAGTTTGAAGTCTATTGTATTAGATATTAGGATAGCAACGCCAGCTTGTTTCTTAGGTCCATTTGATTGGAAATTTTTTTCCCAACGCTTTACTCTAAGGTTATGTCTGTCTGTGAGCTTGAGGTGTGTTTCTTGTATGCAGCAGAAGAATGGATTCTGTTTTTGTATGCAATCTGTTAGCCTGTGTCTTTTATAGATGAATTGAGTCCATTTATATTAAAGGATGTTAGTGGCCAGTGATCGCTAGCTCCTGTTATTTTTGTTTTTGTTGGTAGTGGTGGCATTGTGTGTGTGTTTCCTTTCTTTGGGCTTTGTTGCTGTGAGATCATCTATTGCCTGTGTTCTTGTGGATGTAGGCGACTTCCTTGGGTTGGCATTTTCCTTCTCGTACTTTCTGTAGGGCTGAGTTTGTGGGTAGGTATTGTTGGTTTTATCATGTAATATCTTGTTTTCTCCAACTATGGTTATTGAAAGCTTTTCTGGGTGCAGCAGTCTGGGCTGGCATCCGTGGTTTCTTACTGTTTGCATAACACCTGTCCAGGGCCTTCTGGCTTTCATTGTTTCCATTAAGAAGTCAGGTGTAATTCTGATGGGTCTGCTTTTATATGTTACCTGGCCTTTCTCATTTGCAGCTCTTAATATTCTTTTTTCTGTATGCTTATTGTTTTGATTATTATGTGGCGGGGGGACTTTTTTGTGGTCCACTCTATTTTGTGTTCTATAAGCTTTTTGTTTTTTCATAGGCACGTCCTTCTTTAGATTGGGAAAGTTTTCTTCTATGATTTTGTTGAATATATTTTCTGTGCCTTTGAGTTGGACTTCTCCTTCTTCTATCCCTATTATTCTTAGTTCAGTCTTTTCATAGTGTCCCAGATTTCCTACATGTTTTTGTGTTAATGATTTGGTAGATTTACAATTGTCTTTCACTGATGAATTTATTTCCTCTATCGTGTCTTCAAAACCTGAGATTCTCTCTTCCATCTCTTGTATCCTGTTAGTTATCCTTGCATTTGTGGTTCCCGATCATTTACCCTAATTTTCCATTTCCAGAATTCCTTCAGTTTGTGTTTTCTTTTTTGTCTCTATTTCAGATTTCAAGTCTTGAATCATCCCCTTTACTTGTTTGATTGCTTTTTCTTTAAGGGATTTGTTGATATCTAATTCAATTTTTCCTCTATTTCTTTAATGGATTTTTTTCATTTCCTCTTTAATGCCTCAATCACCATCATAAAGCTATGTTTAGGTCATCGGTTCTTGCTATTGTAGCACTACTAGTTTCTAGTGGTGCTGTATTGCTCTTTATACTGTTGAGTGTGTTCTTACCTTGTTGTGTACGCATCTCTTCCTCTAATTAGCATAGGTGGAGCTTGGGCTTCTGGGGAGTCTCTCTTTCTCCAATTGGTATAGTTCGGGGCTATGGCTTCATTGACCACTCCTTCAGGCACAAGCAGAGAAGATCCTCTGGTGATTGTTCCTCCAGGTGGAAATGGGCCCAAGCCTCAGGTGGCCGCTCCTTGAGGTGCAGGTGGGGCTACAGCTCCAGGGGATGCTTCTCCTGTTGGAGGCAGGATCACAACTCCAGTGATTACTGTTCTAGGTGTAGGTGGTCGATGTAGCATCAGGGTATCTCGAATTGGGAAATGATAGTGGATGCTGGCTGGGACACAGGTGCTCTTTCCCAGAGGAACTTCTTGTGATAGTTTTGGAAGCTACTGCTGGAAACTGCTGCTGTCATCTCACCCTTGCTCCTGGTCCTGAGGCTGGTGCCTCCCTCTGACACTGCTGCTGGGCCTGAGGCTCTGGCCTACCTCTGATGCTGCTCCAGCCTGAAGATCAGGCCTCTCTCTGCCACTTCTTCCGGGCTGGAGTTCCAGCCTCCCACTCAATTAGATACTTTTTAAAAGATGACTCAATAGACAAAACTCCCTCAGATTTTTAATTTAGAGGAAACAATAAACTTACAAAATTTTTTCGATGAACATTTTTATCTAATATTAAATATAATCAAACTTTTGACCTGTGAGTCATGTAGGATTTTGTAGTAAGGTGCTATCAAACATGTCACAGGATTAAAACGGTCTCTACACACTATGAAAGTGTGTATTGTTTCCATTTGAGTTTTTCTTTTAAATCCATAAAAGTTAGCATTTATGACGATTTATCTTTTATAGAATACTGATTTCAAATGTTTAAATGAAGCCTGGTTGCTTATTTTTTAATGTTTTCATTACTACCTGTATTTTATGTGTATGAATGTTTTATCTGAACTGTGTGTGTGCAGTACCCATGAGGCCAGAAGAGGGCATCAGAACCCCCTGGAAGTGGATTGAAGGTAGCTCATGAGCCCTGTAGGGCCTTGAAACTAAACCCAGGTCCTATGTAAGATCTGTTGGTGGTCTTAATCACTGAGCCATCTCTCCAGCTCCATGTTTATATTTTTTCAATTTTCAGATTATGTAATGCTTCTCAGTTTTAAGGTGTTTTTTAAATCTATTGTTTTTGTTCCTAATACAAATAAAGTTATAACCATCTTCTCTTCCTAGGTTGTCCATCTGCAAGCCAGCCTAATGACTTTTAAAAACAGCCAGCCAGTGGTGAGCTTTGTTTCTTAAACACTACATACTAGTATGAAAGCACATGAGGAAATATACATTTGGTTTTTACGTTGTGTTTTGAAGTTTTTTGGGTATGTGTTACAATCTTATAGTCTTTAAAAGGAATTGTGAATTTAAGTAACTTTAAGTAAAGTTAAGGAATATTAAAGTAGACTTGAATTGTTCTCTTTAACTTGCTCGTAGGGTACCTATGTCACTTTGTTGTTAAAAAGATTATTTTGAGTTATTACTAACAATAAAAATAAGAAGTCAAAAATGTGTAGTTGGACATGGTCACAGATGGTGGTATTTCAAGCACCCAGGAAGCTGAAGCAGATGGGTGACTTGAACTGAAGAGTTTGAGATCAGCCAGGGTAACTTAGCATGATCCAATCTCAAACAAATCAAAAAAGAATAAAACTCTTGTGATGATAACAATTTTAAAGTGCTTTTAGCAAAGTAACTTCAGTATTTATGCATGATAATAAAAGATGATTTAGTTAAGTAGTTGAGTAAGATTGATTCTAAGCGATATCTTGAACTTACTGTTTATTCCTATCTTGACCTTCTTTTATTGCCTTCTAGAATCCCAAACACTCTAGAAGAAGTGAAAAAAAGTCCAACCACCATAAAGACTCTTCAGTACAAAGTCTTCGCCTGTCTGCTAACGACGCTGAGGACAGTCTGCGCATGCACGGCACAATGATCAACCTACTGGCTTGGGTGGTGCTGCTCAACATGCCGTCCCTAATCTACTGGCTAAAGAACCTTAGGTGCGCTTATTCATGTAATTATTGCTTGTATGGTTCAGACAGTAAATCTCTCTTAATAGAGCCTGGCTGAATTCCTGATGGGCCATGAAAATTGCTTGAGAATAGGAAGTTATATATTGCCTGGCATTAGTTTTCAGTACATTTCCTTTCCCTCATTAGCTATGATGATAAAAGTTTTGGGATTATAATGTTCTCTAAAAACCAGCCAAAGGAAGTGATTTGTATTTTTTACAAGAAAAGTAATTTGTAAATTATTTTTATTATGTGTGGTATACAAAATAATGAGTTTCATTGTGACATTTTCATACATACCCTTTACTATGTTGAGGTCACCTTCTCTTGTCCCAGCTGATTTTTAACATTGGTTCCCTCCTCTTTCCAACAAAACCATGTACAGACAGCCCAGAAAACCGCAATAAAATACCTAGGAATAAGCGTAACTAAGGAGGCTAAATGAAGCAGTGATAAAATTTATTTGGAAGTACAATGGATTCCAACTAGCCAAAGCAACCCTGAGCAAATGGAGTACTGTGTGCAATAGGACTGTCTGCCTGCAGATGATCAGTACAGCAATGTCAGCTGTTGCTAAGTTAAGAATGAGCTTAGGTGCTAATTAACATGAACATGAATGAATGAGGAAAATAATAAAGAAAATGTAGCATGTATACATACACTGTGGAGTATTATTCAACCATAAAGAACAAAGCTGTTTGGAGGTTATCGTATTAAGTGAAATATACTAGACTCGGAAGATGAATGTGTTTTTTCTAGTGTGTGAAATTTTAAAGAAAGACATGAAAGTACAAGAAGGCTCTTTGGCATCCATTGGAGTTTTCACAGGGTCAGCTTGAATCCATAGGTTACTTTGTATATTGTAGCCATTTTGACACTGTTCTTTCTGCTGATCCATGAACACAGAAGGCCTTTCATCCCTCTAGGATTCTCCTCTACTTCTTTTGTGTGTGTGAGTGTGCGTGTGCGTGCGTGCGTTCATGTGTGTGTGGTTTGTAGGCTTCATTGTAGAGATCTGGTGTCACTCTCAGCATGTTCACTCCTAACGTATAGAAACATGTTGATCTCTGTGTCTGTTACTCTGCTGAAAATGTTTATCAGATCTAAGAGTTTCCTACTGGAATTTTTAGGGGCTTTTTAAGTATAGGATCATATTGTCTACTAATAGGGATAATTTGAGTTTTTCCTTTCTATTTTTATCCCTTTTAAAAATTCCTTTTTCTTGTCTCAGTGGTCTGACTGAAACTTCAAGTAATAACCCGAATAAGAACAGGGAGGGTATCATCCTGTCACTGTCCTGGTTTTAGAAGAGGCACTTGCAGCCTTTCTACCACTCGGTATAAAGTTAGCTGTAGGTCTGTCATATCCGTCCTTTACTATGCTGAGCTATTATCTTTCTAGTCTTGGATTCTTTAGGGCTTTTTTCATGAATTGAAACTGACTGTTTTCATAGGCTTTTCTTTCCATCTAATGTGATGATCATGTGGTTTTTGTCCTTGATTTTTATCAATGCACTAAGTTATGTCGTGTTCTTTGTGTGTCTCTGCATCCTTTCACCCCTAGAGTGAAACTAACTTGATGACGTCTTTTGACTGTGCTGTTGAACTAACTCAGCTTACACGTATTTTACTGAGGATGTCTGTGCTTGCTTCTTCAGAGAGATGGGGCTATAGTTTCCTTTTTGTCGTGTCCTCGGGCTCAGATCAGCACCGTTTGTAGACTATTTGACAGCCTTCTTTCTATTTTGTGGGATAGGAAACTGGCATGTGTATTTTAAGGGGATGATAAAACCTGTCTACTCTTGGGCTTTTCTTTGTTGGGAGACATTATGATGTAGTCTCGTTTCTTGTTATGTAGATCTGTTTACATTGTTTGTATGCTCATGGATCAATTTTATGTAGGTCATATCTGTCCAGAAGTTTATTCATCTCTCAGTTTATTTTCCAGTTTATTGAAATACAAGTTTTAAAAAATATTCCATAATGATCTTCTGGATTTCATTTCTGTCTGTTCTTTTTGTTTTAAATTTTATCAATTCATGTCTTTGGTTAGTTTGGCTAAGGGTTTGTCAATGTTGCTAACCATTTCAGAGAACCTATACTCTTTATTTCATCTCTCCCTTTTATTGTTCCTTGGGTCTCCATTAGTTTATCCTAATACTTTATTATCTGTCTATTAATTTGTTCCATTTTTCAAAGGCCTTGGGGAATATCATTATGTTATTTGAAATCTGTTTTTTAAATGTAGGTCCTTATAGCTATAACTTTCCTGATAAAACTTGATTTGCATTATTGCAAAACTTCTGGTAAGTGATGTTTTATTTGATTCTATGATTTTTTAAAATTTCCTTTGATTAAAGAAATCAATCCCACTGATCATTCAGAATTACATTGTTTGAGTTCCACATGCTTGTATTGTTTCTGTAGTTTCTTTTGCTGTTTATTTCTAGTTTTATTCTGTTACTATTTGGTAGGAAATAAAAATTATTTTATTATTTTAAAATTAAGACTTGTTGCAAGTCCTAAACCATGATCTGTTTCAGAGAAAGTTCTGTGGGTGGCTGAGAATGTATATTCCACAACTGGTGGATAGAATATGCTATTGGTGTCTGCTGAGTACATTTGCTATTTAACGTAGTTCAATCTGAAATTTGAGGGAGGGAAGGATGTGTGGATGATCACCTTCTGGTGAGGGGAGTGGGGCCGTCCTCCACTGTTATGTAGCTGGGTCAGTCTCCTCTCCTGTGTCAGTGGTTGTATTTGTTTTATGTAATTTACTGCTTTCAGCATTCAGCACATACACTTTTGATTGTTACATCTTCTTCAAGAGGGGAGTATTTACTTTTCATTTTGTGTGTGAGTGTGTATCTGTGTTGTGTATATCCATATGAGGAGGCCAGAGGTGTTGGATCCTCTGGAGCTGGAGTTTCAGGTGGTTTGTGGTCCATCTGACATGGGTGCTGGAAACCAACTCTGGCCCTCTGCAAGAGTAAACCACACTCTTACATGCTGAGCTGCCTCTGCAGCCCTGTTACATTTCCTTCATTGATGTGTACTTACCTTCTTTATCTCTTCGGGCTAAATTTTGCATGAAGTCTGGTCTACAGTCAGGGCTACACAGAGAAAACCTGTTTTGAAACCAAATAAAAAGAAGGAAGTGCAAATGACATGAAACTAGAGTAGAAAACTAAAAGTACAACAAAATAGTTAAAATCTCAAAGAATTGAAAGAGTCTTTCCTCTAACATTGGCATCAGCCAGATGTGAGGTGGGATTGGAGTAATATCTGGACCTGTTGTGGTTCCTCACTGTTACCACCATATAATGGGGCTGCATACAGCTGAGGACCAGGAGGGTCAAGGGTATGTGGTCTGTGTCAAGGCTGCATGCACCTTAGAAACCCAGCTCACTTCCAAGGCCTTTTCCCAGTATGAGGGGAACAAGCAAGGCCCTGTGTTTTAAACTGGATCAGCACACTAAAGACATAGAGAATCCTATGCAGTGAAATCATAGTGAGAAATCCAGGGAACCTAGACCTCTGCCTAATGAGCTCAGTGTCCTCAGACCCCACCCAGCAGTAAATCCTATAGGAGGCAAGAAACTGGGGAAATCAATGAATCCACTGGGCCTGAGGCCAGAGCTGTCAGATTTGCCCACAGCAAACCACAGGTGGCAGAGAGACAGCTCCAGAAGTCCAGAAGGCTCCAAATTCAGAACACAGAAATGCACAGGTGTGGGACCTGACCCTCTCAGGAGCTGGTGGGCACACTCACTCCTTTGAACATCACAGCCTGGCCTCACTGCTGGTTATTTATTGGACCCTTCCTACTCTATCTTTCCATGGCTACCCCTTGTGATGATTCTAACCTAAACCTGTGTCATGTATCCCACACTGTCCCTCGTTTTCCAGTCTTCAGAGTGACTCAGTCTTGGACTAGGCACTATTGTAAGGTCTCTGACTTTCACCCGCTGAGATAGAGGGAGCAGGGCAGTGTCTTTTTGTAGTGCCATGGCATTCTGAAGGAGCACTGTCATAATGAAGACCCACGCTAGCCAAAGCTTGCAAGACTGACTTTCTCCTGTGGTTACGATTGTCCCTCTACTGTCTTAGGCTGCCTGGCTCACCTGTGCTCTCCTGCCTGGTCCCTCTCACACCAGCTTAGAAATTGGCAGAATCAAAAACAGTTCAGGAAACAAAGTCAAGGGTTGTTAGATGTTGATATCCTTCTTTTGTTTGTGTTTCAATCAAGACCCAGAATTTTGTTCAAGTGTAGTCAGGATTGAGAAACAAGCTATGGAATCTTACTGTCAGTAATGCAAGGGATGAAATTATGGATTTTAAAAGCTAATGAGAAGTCATTTTAGCCTCCATCTTACCTGTTTTGACACAGGGCCATCCTAATGTATTGTAAATAGTGGGTTTTCAAGAACTGTGTGAGCCTTTCCACACTGTATGTCTCTGTTTTCTCCATGGCTTCTAAGTGTAATGCCCAATGTCAAATCCTGAGTGGGAGGGGCAGTCTAGAGTGGGAATTGCGACTAGTGGCTTCATGGGCCATCTAGAGCACTCGTGACTATTGTTATTGGAACTTTTTGAAAATTGATTAATTTGATTCTGATCATTTATAACCATGAGTTTTGCTTTGTTGATATGTGTTTTCTTTTTATTCTAGGTATTATTTCAAGCTTAATCCTGACCCATGTAAACCCCTGGCATTTCTCCTTATTCCAGCTATGGCAATTCTTGGAAATACTCACACGGTTTCAGTAAAGTCAAGGTATAGTGGTTTCAGTTATTTCTTCATCTGTTACTGGCCTTTGTTGTTTTATTTCTTGATGCATCCTCTTTGTGTTTGATTGTTCCTAAAAGTAAAGCCATAGGTGATCATGGTTTACATGCAAATATACTATGCTTGTTTTCTTAATTGCAGGAGTTGTGTTAGAAATGAGTTGTTTTCTTTTAAAACTTAACTCTTAAATGATATACCTAAGATTTGACTTCCCAAAAGTATAGGAGTAATCTAAGTGGATAGACCTGTGGCTAAAGTAATGACAGTTGATTCAGCTGAGTAATAGGTCTGAGGGCTTAGTGTGCAGTTGGCCTTTTGTGTGTATGAGTTTGAGGTACTCATAACAACACTTGGTCTTTTTGGAGCATTTGCTCTAGGAGGCACCTTCGCTGTTCTGGGATCAGGCCCACCGAGGATTTAAATCTTAGTGTGGGAGCAGGAACGTTGTTACATGCCTGGGGTCTGAGCATGTGGGAGGAAAGGCAGGAGAACCCGCTGGCCAAGGCCATCCTCAGCTATATAGAGTCGGTGGCCAGCCTGGGCTACATCGACACATATCTCAAATAAATTGTATAAATAAGGAAGAACAAATCTTGTCTTGGTCATTTAATGACTGTATGCATAGGGGTTTCCCCTGAAACTAGTTCTCTTTTTCAATATTTACTGTTCGGTTTATATGTTTCCTTTCTTGGGACAAAGATGCTTTGTCTGTTGCGCTGAGTTTTTTTGGTTTTGTTTTGGTTTGTTTTTACTTAATTTTGACGTTGTAAGTGGGATTAGATTAAGCATTTTTGTAGCTCTGTCTTCAAGAGCATTATTTTGTTAGGCTATGTTTTTGGAGATAGAATTGTGGGATGAAATACCAACTGGTATTTTTCTGTTGTTAAGGAAAGAATAAGAATATAGCTGTTCTCTGAATAAAAGTGTGTTTCCTTTTTCTGCTTAAAATATGATTTTTATTGACCTTTATAAAATTATGGACAGGTTTTTTTTCAGTTTATTTAGAAAAAAACCACGTTTAAAGTCACTTAGAAGCCATATAGTTTGGCATACTCCTGCCATCCCAGCATTCAGAGGATAAGGAGGATCCAAGTTCAAAGCCAGCTGGGTTATATCATATATCACAGAACGTTAGCTCAGAAAACCAAAGCTGAGATGGCACAGTGGTACTCAGGAGGCGGGGACAGGCAGATCTCTATGAGTCTGAGGCCAGCCTGGGCTGTACAGCAAGTTCCAGGACAGCTAAGTCTACATAGTGAGATCCTATCTCAACCAAAACAAAACTCCAAGAAAAAAAAGAAGATAGTCAGAAACCTAAAAGTAAATAAACAAAATTTAAATAAATACAAGCAAAAATCGTATTTCCCCAAAACGGAAAAAGCATATTTCCCTTTTGGCTCACAAAGTAGTTTGAATAAATAATGCGTATTTCTCTCTCTTCACAGTAAATTACTGAAGACCGCCTCACAGTTTCCAGTTCCTCTGGCTGTTGGTGTGATTGCTTTTGGCTCCTCCCACTTATACAGGGTTCCATGTTTTGTCATCATTCCTCTTTTATTCCATGCGTTATGCAACTTCATGTAAGACTGGACTTAAAGAATGATGCAAACGATCTATGCCTTTAGGACCAGTGACACAGTGAATGCAGCTCCACCAACTGGAACAGAGGTCCTGAGGAGAAGACAAGTCTATTTTTACAGTGTTGGAAATAGGAAATTAGTTTTGTAATGCTTGAGGAAAGTAGTTGAAGCATGGTTTCATTTTGTGATGTAGCATCTGTGTACTCATCATACCTGAGAAATTAGTGAAGGGGACTCCTGTTCATACCGACTAGCTCCATCAGGCCTGCCAGGACTCTTCTGCAGACTCGGTAGATGCAGCGGTGTTTGTAATGTCATGTGAAACCTCCGCTGCTTTCATCAGACTTTCTTTTGAAAACTTGGTTTCGTATTTGCTGTAAGTTACATATTCAACATAAGTCTTAAAAGTCACAGCTGTTTCTCAGAAGTGCAATAGTCATGAAAGAGTCTGGACAGTTTTTGGCAGCCATGGTCAACAAAGCTTGATCTGCCTTCTTACGTCTATGAACAAGAGCCTCAAATTGAAGGGAGAGTTTGTGTTAACTATTGCAGTTCAGACTTAAAACAATGACATTTTCTTGAGCCTTCAAATGCAAACCTTACTGTGCATTCTTGATGAATATTCAGAGCATGAAAGAGATCTACCAAGAGATCTGTTATCAAAAGACCGTTCTTGTGGGCACTGCATTGGCACAGTCAGTCTCTGCATCTGATTAAATCAGTGCTCCCATGGTTGCCAAAAGGGCCTCTGGTGATGATAGATTATTAAAATAACTAAATTCCAGAGGTGGAAACAGCTCTGGATTTACACCATTTTTGTCTACTGGGAAGGAGGGGTGTCAACACAAATACAGTATTGCACTTGGTGTACCAAGCTATGCTACTAAGAAAGGAACAGTAGGCAACATTACTCCATTGGCACTCAGAGCGTGAGCACTGCCTGGGTAGGCGGCAGACTCCATCACTCAGTTAACAATGGAATCTCCATTGGCAGGGTTCACTCCTTAGGACTACTGTTTGGCCAGTGAGAGTAATGTGTTATTTCATTTCTAATTCGAGTTCATTCTTAGGTACAGAGAAACAAAAAGACTGGGAGCTTGAAGAATATGGTTGCTCTTTGCCTTCAGTTAGAATAAACCCAGGCTGAGAAAAACCTGGTTTGCGGAGCCCTCCACCTAGGTGTGTGTTCTGTAAATGCCCAAAGCCTCCTCAGTGACACCCTTACCTGTCCGTGAACTCACAGCTGCATTAGTGAACTTGTGTACTTCTTAGTGGCAGAAATGGCACTTAGGGGATCAGTTTCATTGTCTCTGCTGTCGCACTTGGTACCACAGCCCCTCAGCTACTACTGCCAACTGGAGGGCTTCTCCCTCTTCTGTCTTTAAAAGATCGCCCTACTCCCCCCACACCCCCCGGGGGGTTCTTCCTTGGATCTTTTCTGTTTCAGCATTAGTCAAAGGGTCATGTTATTACCGCAGAGACTAATCTGTGTGACTCCGTTGCTGTCTTGACTGGCAGCATGCTTGTTAGGGATTCATACCTTCACTTACTAAGACTTTTGAAGGAAAGCCGTTACATGTGACATGGCGGACGTTTTACTCTCTTGTTTCTGAATCCTATCAAAGGAGTAAACTACACCATAGTGTTTATTCAGTATCTGAGAGTGAGTTCATTAGATAATACAATTTTCTCATGGCATACCTCTTCTCTAACTAAATGGGGACATCTCTGCTTAAATTTTGCCAGGCATGCACAGCCTCTATACACATGTCATCTTTCATTCTGTCAGTGATACTTCAGATGTATCTCTCTCAACTTAATGGTAACTGAATACTTTCTGAACTTGAACATACATCTACAAAGAACTTTACAAACATTTGGAGTTAGACCTTTTATAGCCATGGTTATTTATGAGATCTAAAGTCACCCTGATTAGTCAATACTACTCATGAGGAAGATGTAGCAAGTTTGATTTCTTAATCGTGAGTAGTCCATATGTTATTAAAGCACATTAATTCTTACTAAAGTTTTTTTGTCTGAAAGTACTTATTCCTGAGCCCTAAAGTCTTATTTATGTAACCAAAATATTTCAAATAATAGTGGTCTGGATCTTTGGCCATTTGCCACTCACACTCACAGATACACACTCACACATAAACACACATGGGCATGCTTTGACAGAATCTCCATTGAGTATTTAGACCCAAGTAGTTAGGTAGACTTTCTGATCATGAAAATTGCTATCCTTTAAGAAAAGAAAATTCCTTTATCTCAATATCACTTTCTTTTATCTATCATGCATATTATTATCATAGTTCTCTTACCAGTTTTACCCAAATTGGCAGTTAAATTAGAGATTAATACATCAAATTTTGAATTCTATTCTAAGAAATTGAGTTTTTGAGTAAATGTTGTGCTTATTAAACAACTGAATTCTTGATAGTAAATAGATTGGGTATATGTTAGAGAGTTAAGAACACTGAGTGCTAAGCATTTCTGAAACACCCTTATGGAATTATTGCTGTTGTAATTTAGACCTGATATTTTTAAAGACTCGTGTGTGTGTGTGTGTGTGTGTGTGTGTGTGTGCGCGTACAAGTGTGTGGTAGAGGGCAGTAGAGCCCCTGGAGCTGGAGTCAGGTGGTTGTGAGATGCTGGACATGGATGCCAGGAACCAAACTCAAATCCTCCAGAGCAGCAGTACTCTTGATTGAGCTATCCCTCCAGCTCCTGGACCTGATAATGTGAGAGAAATTTCTATTGCATGAGCACCCCAGGGATTGAATCCAGAGCCTGCGTTTGCTAATTATGTTCTCAACCACTGAGTTATACACGGCTTGTGTGGGTTAAGTTCATGCCAAAATTAAATAAATTCTACTCTTTTTCTTGGCTACCACTGTAATGAAAACTTTTAGAACTGTGGGTCTAAAGAAACCATTTGTGCTTAACCCTGATTTTCAGGGCTGCCTAATATGTATTAATCATGTATTGACTGGTCTTTTACTTCTTTTTGTATTTTAGTTATATGACTTCAGCTATCTATAAAGGAATGCTTTTTGAAGTTTTGGATTTTTTTTTTGAGACAAGGTTTCTTTGGTAGCCTTGGATGTCCTAGAACTAGCTTTTTAGACCAGGCTAGCCTTGAACTCACAGAAATCTACCTGCCTCTGCCTCCAATGTACAGTGAAGAAAAAGTGAAGAAAGGGAAATAACTCCAGGAGGTAGGCCTGCTGAATATTGGCTATTTATTACATTGTCATGCATGTCCACATGACACATTTTCATAACGCTCACAAATTTGTACAAAACAGATTGTCTTATTTACTATCAAGTCCAAATACTTCTTTAAAACCCTACTTAGACTTTTTGCTTACAGCATGATGTACAGCATGCACCTCCTAATACCTCTTATGGAAAATGATTTAGTGAAATAAGGAGAAGTAGAACTACTTGGTAGTTCTTGAAAGCTGCAGGAGGAATATGGTGGTTCAGATGGTAACTTGCCTGCCATGTAAACACCAGGACCCAAGTGCAAATCCCCAGAATCCACATGAGAAACCGGCTGAACAGTGTGTGCCTGTAATCTCAGCTCTGTGTGGTGGAAACAGGTAGATCTTGGGGGCCTGCTGGCCAGCCAGTCTAGCCAAATGGGCAAGTTATAGGTTCAGTGAAAGACCTTGTCTCAAAAGCTGAGGTAGAGAGTAATTGAGGGAGATTTCCAGCATTGACCTCTCCCTGCACTTGCATGTGTACCCACACACAGGGTCATGTACACAGACATGTACACACATGAAAACACAAAACGTATTTAAGAGGCAGGGACCCACAAATACCATGCGGTGACCTAGGGTTGTTGTTTCCAGAATCATAGGATAAATCAGATGGCCTGTATCTATCTCCTCAGACATCAGGTCTGAATTAATATATCCACCTTGTGTTCTTTGGTTAGATGCAAAAATCACAGAATGTTTCATTTGAAAACTTATGAAGTGGTTTTTAAAAAATCATTTAGAAAAGATCCAAAAGTATATTAAGGTTTTGGACAGCTAGGTTTTTGTTGATTGCTTTTTTTTTAATCTGTGTGGACAATTTGTGAATTTGTATATATCACAGGAAATAGGAGACATTGTGATGTTTATTGAGGAGTATGACACTTGCAGTAATAAAGGGAGCAATGGAAGTTCCCGTGTTTGCAATATTAGTTCCTGCCAGGAAAGCTTCCATACCAGAGGAAGTAAATCTAGGACTAACTCTACTAACTGCAAGATAGAGAACCGGCATTTTATTGCAGTCTTTTTGAACAAGAAATGTTTGTAACTCTGTGATTATCTTCTTTTTCAATATGAATGAGGAAATAAGAAAGTCCTGGGGGACCTCATGTTCCCAACTTTCCATAGGATTATGGGTAATGGGATTCAGATCAGCAGTTCAAAGATGTACTATAAATGCACAAACTTCTTCATTTTAAAACCTATTGTGAATAAATAAAAACGGAATTTTACGTGGTAGTGACTTCATTTTGAGAAGAGAATAAAATTTGGAATTGGTGAAAACAGGCATGCTGTTACTCTACTAATACTGTAACTGTAGCAGTGCAGCTGGCTGGTGATGCAACCTCCAAGCTACAGCTTGATTAAACTCTCTGTGAATGATAATTAAAAATCAAGAACAGTTTTCCTTAAGTGTTTGGCATGTTATGCTACCAAAAAACCATCTGGAATACTAAGAAACCAGTTAATTGCTGATGGCTTCATATAAAATTGGTGTCTTGAGTCAGAATCAGCCTGTTTCCATTATGTATATTATCACTTTGAACATCAATGAAAAACTATATCTGTTGCTGTTAGATTAGTGTAAAGTTTGTGTATCTGAATTCTAATCTTAGTCCAGGAATCCTACAGGGAGCTGTTTTGTAAAGTTCATATGCTCTTTCAAATGTTATTTTGATGTGTAGTATTTGTAAGGTAGTGATGTTGCTATGACAAAAGTTTATAGACACTGGGTAGCACTAACTACTCCAGAGCCTTACGGCCCGTGTATTTGGTATTTCATGTGCATCTGTTCTGTTTCATATTGGACTTTTTACATCCCCTCTTTTTGGGAGAATAAAGATACATTTGAATCCTTTTTAGCATAATCTGCATTGGAAACTATAAGTATTCGCATGGGTAAGAAAACATACTTTGCCACCAAAGCTAAATGAAACTGTAAAATACCTCTGGATATTTGTGCCAAGGAGCTTTTCTTAGTATATTTGGGTTAAAACAATAGTATTCGTTTCAGTATTTTTCATCTAGACTTACAATAAATGTGTATATTGTGAAAACATATTCTTTATTTTATTTTTCTTTGAAAATGTTCAAAGCTTTAGAATAGTGTGTGCTATTCTGTCTGGTTTCCTGACATTGCTGGGTAAAACATTAATTGGCTCAGTAACAATCTTTCAGCTTTGGTCTTATTTTGCGATGTGAAAAACTAATTGCTTTGTACTGTGCGTTTTTGGTATAGGCGTCTCATTTATATACCTGAAAGCTTGCCCTATGAGGTTTCTTTTGTTTTCTGAATGTTTCTGTTAGTCCCAAGGGTTTATCCCCTAGAACCTAACATAGTACAATGAAGCAAACCTCTTAACATGTACATCTTGTCCCAAACACTATCAAGTACAGTTGTTAATGAAAAACAGAAGCGTTACTACAGCATTAGACAAAATCAGAAACATAATAGGACCAGAAGCCACTGGGATTTGCATGAACTCTAGTTCCTCCTCATAGGAATGTCATGGAAATCCTGGTGTTTCGTTTCAGTTTTCCTTACCATTTTTTTTTTACTGCTTCTTTGCCCAGTACAGTAATGTAGTTGGTACACTTTCATAAGTTAGCCTCGAAGGAAAAGAAAGAGTGCAGAAAGCCAGGTACTGAAATATTTGGTCTTGATCGAGTAATGGTTACCTAACTGTTGGGGACTGTGGATAGATTAGTAATTGGGTGGTTTATGAGAGCTGGCTTCAGGATGCTGTGTCCTCTGGAAGGAGTTTATCCTCTGTGCTCAGTGGCCTTAGCCTAAGTAGGAGATGCCTGTCCTTAGCATAAGCAGGCTCTGTGCATGGAGAAATTAAGTGGTTGTCAGGGTTCTCATGCAAATATCCTCTCCCTTCCCTTCCCCCTCCACAATGTGGAGTTGAAGAGAAATCTTAATTTTTATTGTGTATAAATTAGGAAGTTGTGTTACATACTTGTATTTTTTAAAAATAGGAACTGGTGTGTATCATTTTGAAGTGATACTGTGGTTTCTCAAACTTGGGACTAATTGTAAATGTAGTAACATGCCCAAGATAAAACAGACCAAAACTGAATATGTATCATCACTGTGACCTTGAACTTATTTGGGGTAGAACAGACTGTGCCTTAAAATGACAAGCAATGCCCTGCAATTTTGTCACTGTATTTTACTATGGGTGGCCTTCTCAAATTCATCCAAAATCCTTTCATTGAGTTGTCGAAATGGCGGTTTTAAGTACAAATTGCTCTATACTTCCTTAATATTCACACAGCTGTTGTTCTCAAGGCCTCCCTCAATTTCCAGAGCTTTTCGTTGTTTGATTGTTTTATTTAAAATTGATTTGATCTTAATATATCTGGGAAATTAGGTTTGGCTAAAGTTTTGGGGGAATATTTTAAAGAATAGTCACGGCACTTCTGTTTCTAAACTTATTGAATATGGAAAAATTAATAATCAGAATGTATTTTGTCTTATTGATAATAGCCTTGTCAAAGCTGTGAGTTCCTTCTGAGACTTGTGGTCAGTGTTGTGGCACATTGAGACTTATATTTATATTCTCAAATAAGCGTTATTAACCAACCCAGTGATGAGTTCCAGTGGTTAAACTCAGATCAATGTAGTTTTTTTAAACATCACTGTTTCCCCCTCTTTTTTTTCTTGCCTAGTTGTTTTTATGGTGTCAAGGGAGAATCAGCTCCTCTGTTTTTAATTTAGTGTAAAGTCTTGAATTTTTACTGTGCTTATTTAAAATAATGAGTATGAGTTCCACTCAAGCCCAAATCACTCGATTTATAATATAATCATGTTCTTTCCCAAAGCTGCCCACATTCCTGTGTGCTCAGTTCGCTGTTTATTTTTACATGTTGCTTTTGGACATAAGCTCAATGTATTTCTTTTGTCCTATTTCACCTCCACTACTCCTATGAAAAATTTATGTTTGGATAAGAATCTCTTGAAAATATGTAGAAATAACAATACATCTTTCCTCAAAGCCTGGTAAAACTGACTATGAGGTTGTTTAGACAAGGGTGCATGGTCAAGTGGTTCTCAGCTGACGTCAGCTTTCACCTCACAGTTACACGTGTAGAGCACAAACTACTCGTGGCTGCTGAGGGGGACTCGATAAAGTTATCATTTATTTTCACACTAATTTCATTCTCATCCATAAAGTCCACTGTACAGTAACAATACTTAGTGCAAGGAGCGTGTCTTAAAGTGTGTACTGAAAACCATGACTACAGTGCAAATCTTCCCTCAGAACATGCATGCTCTTCTCAAGTGCATTGTGCAGTGTGTAGTGCACTAAATACACGTGCGTGTAATTTTCTGTGTATTTTTGGTATGGTATAATTAACACTGTTCCAATTGAACTGGTTGTGATTTGGGGCAATGTGCTGCTTATTGTAGTTTGTACAGTGTTGTAAGTGTTTTTACCTGTGTTTAAACATGATGATGTAGTTTTATTAGGTGAGTATTTGCCTTCCATCTCCGCTCAGGTATTAACGCATAGCAATTTTTGGTGCTTTGTTTTTAGTTTGTCATAATCTGGTGTTCTGAATGTCCAAAAATAAATTTGGTGAATAAGCACATTTGGCACAAAGAGTTCTTACTGCATAAAAGAAAGCTTTAGTCTTGGCTTCTTTACATGTCTGGCCCCTTAGCAAATAGAGTACCTGTTAAGCACAGGCTGTGAGTGCGACACAGCTGAGTCCTAGAAGCAGGAAAAGCTGACGTTTTGCAACTTGGGATGTTGTAGTTTTTCTCATACATTTCTATGGACACATCATGGTTCACAGTCTATTTTCAGAAATTGTACATGTTTCTCCCAGAGACTGTACTTTCCCTCTGTCCATTGCTAACTAGATACAGTCCTAGGTGGAAGAAGAATAGGAAGGAATTAGACATTGTATGCAGGTGTATAGTCACTCTGTAGTTAATCAGTTGACTTTTGAAGTAGAAGCCCAGAAGTCATTCTTAAGCTTGGTAGACATTGCCTTAGTCAGTAAAATTAACTCCCAAGGGTGTCTAGAAGCAACCAGAGAGGCTTAGAATTCCAAGTTGCCAAATGACACTAAATAATTTGAGAATTTAACATAAACGCAAACCCTTATGGAACTGAATAGAAGGAGTCAAATGAGACAAGGTATTTCTCAAGGGGTGGGGCATGCTTCTTGTATTTTTAACCATCATCCCCAAATGTGTAAGTAAACATGTATTATCTGTCTATACAAATATTGTGTATATTATTACACAGACCAGAAAAGGTCTGGTTTTGAGAATGAGAATCAGAAGATGAGATTATTCAATTGGTGAGGTGCCTGTCTTGCAAGAGTGAAGACCTGACTTTACACACGTACACGCACACACACACACACACACACACATGCACACACAGAGAGAGAGAGAGAGAGAGAGAGAGAGAGAGAGAGAGAGAGAACACCCAAGAAGCTAGTTATTGTAATACATTCCTATAACCCCAGTGCTGGAGGGCAGGAAACGGGATCCCTGAGGCTTATTGGCCAGCCAGCCTAGCTGTATCAATGAGTTCCAAGTTGAGTGAGAGACCCTGTCTCAAAGAATAAGGTGGAAAGCCAGTGGAATGTCTCAGTGGAATGTCTCAGCATGCCTGACAACCTGAGTTAAGTCCTGCAGAACCCACATGGTAGAGGGAGAAAACCAACTCCTGAAAGTCAACCATATACATACACATCCAAGACACTTACATCCAAACCCAAACATACACACAATAAACCATGTGTGTGTGGGGGGGTCTTAGTGTGTAGCCCTGGTTGGCCTAGAAGTCACAGAGATTTACCTGCCTCTGCCTTGTTAACATTGTGGTTAAAGATGTGAACCACCATGCTGGCAAAATAAACTTTCTAAAAAATTGCATAATAAAATAAAATTAATGTGGAGAACAGTTGAGGAAGACACTGGTCATTAACTTCTGATCTGTACCCTGGTGTAGGTATGCCTGCATGTACTCAAATTATTAGGACAGTAGTAATATCAATTCATTTTCCAGATGTTAATTCTTCTTAGTGGTGAGAGATGATATAATCTCTTATTGTTTTTTATTCTAGTCCAGCTGACAAAAGAGTAGATGTGGATTTATGTTGTTTGTGCAGGTGTTATTATCATTTTCAACTTGTGCTTCTTGGATGGAGTATTTTGAAGGTGCCCCAATCTACAATAGTTATGTTACTTCAAACCAAGTATAGTGGATATTTAATAATATAGTTCATGAATGCCTTAACCATCCCATATAAACTACAATGCCACATTCATTACATGCTTCAATTCTTAAAGTGGATAAGCACATGAGCAAACTATTAGAGTCCTGCTGCCCTCTTTCCACAGAAGAACTGTCACTATTCTCCCAGACTGTCCCCCATGCACTGTTAAGCCAACCTTGATACCAATGAATGTATAAGAACATAAATGTCCATCTATGTAAAAATATTAGTAACTCACCAGGTGTATGTTGGTCCATTTCTGTAAGTTCAAGGCCAGCTTGGTCTGTGTTGCCAGTTCTATGACAGTCAGAGCAATATAGACTCTGTCTCAAAACAACAAATAGTAACTTGGTTTTTTTAGATTAAAAATTACAATGAATTTTTTATCCTGTATCCCAATATGTTGTCTAGTGCACAACACTTAGATTGTATTCACCCCCATTTGGATAAAATTTAATCCTTTGAGGTGGTCTCTTTCTTATCTTAGTCTCTGTTCTATTACTGTGAAGAGACACCATGACCAAGACAACTCTTACAAAAGAGAGCATTTAATTGGGGGTTTGCCTGTACTTGTAGAGAGTCCATGAGCATCATGCTGGGAAGCAGACAGGCATGGTACTGGAGCAATAGGCAGAGAGAGAGAGAGAGACAAAGAGAGACAGAGACAGAGAGAAACTGGGCCTAGCATGGGCTTTTAAAACCTCAAAGGTAACCCCCAATGACATATCTCCTGCAATAAGACCACGTGTCCTATTCCTTTCCAAGCCATTTCATTAACTGGGGACCAAACATTCAAACATATGAGCTTGTGCACAGACCACCACATTTCACTCTTTGGCCACCATAGGCTTGTACTATGCAAAATGCATTCAGTCCAACTCCAAAATTCCCCCAAAGTCTTTCAGCTCAAAGACTTCAAAAAAGTCCAGAATCTCTTCTGAGACTCAACTGCAAGCCCCTGTAAAATCAAAATAGAAAAGCAGACCACATACTTCCAAATACACAGAATATACATTGCCATTCCAAAAGGGAGGCAAGAGACCATAGCGAGGAAATGCTGAACCAAAGCAAGACTGAAACCAAGCAGGGCAAACTACAAATCCTTTAACTTCATGTCTGCTTTTAAAGGGTTTATTAAATGGCTCCTCCCTTCCAGCTTTGTTGACTGTAACAGAGTTCTCTCTCTTGGGCTGGTTCCATTCTTGGCTGCAGCTGTCCTTGGCAGGCATCCCATAGCTGTCGCATCTCCAGCATCTTGGGGTCTCCAACACAATCCAGGCTTCACTTTCACAGCTTCAGGCCTCCAGGCAGAGACTTGGTTTTCAGACAGCTGGCCTCTGTGGCTTTCCTTAATTGTGGAGGCAGATTGCATAACCCCTTTCCTATATCCTGCTTGACCCTAAACTCAGAACCACATGTCTGGAGCTTCCAGGTTCTGCTGCTTGCTGGGGCTGGAACCTAGCCTCCTCCTTGAATGGCATTTGCATAAACATTCTGTTGTTGTTCAGGCCTAGGAAATCTCTCAGAAGTTTTTCTTTCATATGCTGCAGAATTAGCTGGGTGGGATCGTGCCCTGAAGTTATCCCTTTTATTCCATTAAACACCAGGCCTTTCTTTAGACTTCTCATCTTGAGCACAAGACTTGGCAACATTACATTTCCTGGTGTTCCTTTTCCCCTCAAGCTGTGTATTTTGTATTTCTCCTCCCTCACCACATACACCTTTTCAATATGGAACTGCATAAGGGTGACATGTGACACAGTCAAAAATAGGCTGTCTTGAAATTTCCTCTGCCAATGACATTACCCCAAAGCTCTTCACATTCTTTGTCATAATGTCACAAAAATGGTCTCTAATCCATAATATCACAAGAATGGTCTCTAATACTCTCTTCTGAAACTGCTTGAGCTGGGTGTCCTCCATAGTTTACATTGCTCTTAAAACCACTGTTTTCCATGCTCCTATTAGGATAGCCTATTAGCCCCACTGAAAGCATTCAACTGCTTTTCTAGTCCAAAGTTCCAGTCTTCCCTATTTCTCTAACAAACAGCATTGCCAGGCCTGTCACAGCAATGCCCCACTCCTGGTACCAATTTGCCTTACTGTTGTATTACCATAAAGAGATACCATGACTGAGACAAGTCTTATAAAAGAAACATTTAACTGGAGGCTTGCCTACAGTTCAGAGGATTAGCCAATCATCATCATGTTGAGAAGCAGACAGGCTTGATGCTGGCTCAATAGCTAAGAGTTTTCCATCCTGATCCACTCTGGCAGCAGGCAGAGACAGTGTGAGACCGGGCCTAGCATGGGCTTTTGAAAACTCAAAGCCCACTCCCAGTGATAAACCACCTCCAACAAGGACACACCTCCCACCTCTCCCCAAACAGTTTTACTAACTGGGCACCTAACATTAAAATATATGAACTTATGGGAGTCCTTCTCATTCAAGCCACCCTACCCTTCCTAGTCTTATTGAAGTATATATGCAGACCTATTTGGGGGGCTAGGGATCTGGCTCAGTGGTAGAACACTTGCTGTGTATGCTTTAAAGGCCCAGACTTCAATCACCAGCACTACAAAAAGAAAATAAAATTGTGAGGTGTACATTATTAGTACATATATTCACTGTGAAATGATCACACAAGCCAATTAACATATCATCTTTCATACTTAGTGCTCACATAAATGGTGTGTGGGTGTGTGTGCACGCGTGCACGCGCACACATGTGTATTTAGAATATTACACGCCTACTGACAGTAAGAGTTCCTTTTTCCAAGCTCTTTCCCAGCATTTGTTATGGGTTTTTTGCCTTGATAACCACTTCAACTGGGATAAGATAGAATCACAGAGTAGTTTTGCTTTGCCATTTCCTGATGGCCAAGGACATTTAACACTTTTAAAAGTATTTATTAGCCATTTGTATTTCTTCTTTTGAGAACTCTGTTCAGTTCACTGACCTATTTATTGATAAGTAGTTTTGAATTTGGGGGGTTTAATTATTCCAATTATTTGTTTATCCTAGATATTAGCTCTCTGTTTAAAGTACAACTGCCAACAATCTTCTCCCATTCTGTAAGTTGTCTGTTTACTCTGCTGATACTTTCTCTGTCAGACATAAACTTCATAATTTCATGTAATCCCATTTGTCAGTACTTGGGGCTGAGTTTTGTGCTTTGGAGTTCTGTTAAGAAAGGTTTTACCAGTAGCTATCTTGAAATGATTTCTCTGTGTAGAATGATTTTTTTCTAGAAATTTTGGTGTTTCAGGTCCAAAACTAAGGTCTTGGATCCATTTTGAATTTTGTGTGGGTTGAAAGATATGGGTCTGGTTATCTTAAAAACAAAATT